GGGGCACTGTGATCACTACAATGCTTGTGATAATTTTATGTAATTACAAGCAATATCAAATTACCAAAATCTTCAGGGAAAATTCCCTGAGTTGGCAAAGCTGACCGCACACTTTTCAAATGTTAACAAAAGTATTAACAGGCAGCTGTTGAAACCCGTGGGCAACAACCGCCTCATTCAGAACTGCAACACCAGCGGCTTCTCAAGCCAAAATCTCAAGTGTTAAAAAAGCAACAGTGCCATCTTGTGTTCAAAATCAGAAACATAGCTTTTCGGTCAACCCCATTTCTTAGGACAAAAATGGAGGGGGTGTAAAAAGTGAGGTTAGTTTTAGAAGAGTTCAAAAGATGCAAACGAGATTCTTCTCCATAATCCAAATGTCTACTTTTCTTACTTGGAATTTATCTATCTATTGGACTAAGAGGCTCTGGTGGTAGCGCAGTGGTTACGAATCGGGCTGCTAATCTCACAACCAGCAGTTGGAAACTACCAGTAGTTCCACGGGAGAAAGATGAGGACTTTTGCTCTCGTAAAGATTTACAGCCTCAGAAACCGTATAATGGGTGGCTATGAGTCGGAACCGACTCCACGGCATGAAACCACCACCACAGGGACAAAGCTCTTTACAAAAAAAAATTAAAAATAAATTGCAGGACTCCTGGTGTGGCGCTGTGGGTTAATGCACTGGACTGCAAAGTCAGTTTGAATCACAAGGTCGGCAGTTCAAGCTCACCAGCAGCTTCTCGGGAACCCTATACAGGTTTGCTAAGAATCGGAACCCACATGATGGCACGTAACAACAACAACAGCATGATACAAACGGACTGAGGGTGGACATACTTTGGTAGTACAACCAGAGAAAGCTCTGAGAGGGGATATTTGAAGTGAGGCATGGACACTATAAAGAAATGAGAAGAGAATGTCCTAGAAGAGTGGAGAACACATGGAAAGGTCCTAAAGTAAGAAGAGGTTTGGTCCATTTGAGGAACAGAAAGATGGTCGCGAAGAGTAGCTAGTGAGTGAGGAGGGTAGTAAGAGATTCACACGGTAGACAGGACCTGCTCCGGTAATTTAGCCAAGAAATGAGAATGCTCCCCTGGAGCTCTCTTCCCCCAAAACCATTGCTTCCAAAAGGTCTCAGTGCAGAGAGCTGTGTTCCAGAGGGTTGTTGTTGTTGTTGTTGTTGTTCCCCAATTTGCTTCTTACCATTTCTTACCAATCATCTTTACATAGAGCCCAGTGATCAAAAGAGCTCCTTTGATTTCATGTTGTAGCCAGCCTCTTGATTTATGGATTTGTTGTTGCTGTTAAGTGTCATAGAGTCGGTTCCACCTTATAGTGATCCTGCCTAGGGTTTCTGAGAAGCAAATGGTAGGTTTGAACTGCCACCCTTGCAGTTAGCAGTCCAGTGCTTATCCTACAGTGCTGCACTAGAACTCCTGTCTTATGGCTGTCCCTCCTTAAATCACCCCATTTTTTAAATACATGAAAGCTCCAAACAAAGCCATCACTTCATATCAAAGAAAGTCTGAGGAAATCTTACAGAGACTATTCCAATGTAAGATAAATTAGGAGCGTGTTATCAGAAGTGGTTCAAAGAACCGGTGAGGTTTAGCCTGTAGAAGAGATAACACAGAAGACAGATGATGGTGGTCTTTGACTATTTTTAAGAACTTTCAAGAGAAGAGGAAGAAGGAGTAGTACAGAGAAACAGATGAAGTGGTAGGATGAAGATAAGCTAAATAGTTAATAATTTAAAAATCAGAATGAACTACCTTATAAAATAGTGAGCTCCCTGCCATTGGGAGTAATCAGAAAGAATCTCACTCAGAAAGAGCCTGCCTGGTGAAATGCAGGAAATGTCTGCATTGTGTTGAGAGTGAACTCAATCACATAAACTCCTACCCCTAGACTTTGAGGAAATCTATCAACCAGAACCATGTAGCTCTTTGCTTTCAGTGGCATTTCTTTCTTCATTTCTGTTTTTGTCCCTGGCCCCCTCACTTGCCCTTTAATAATGAAGAGGCTAGGTAAAAGAGAAATGGAAGATAAAACAATTTATTGAAGGCATGTTAGGAAAGCTTGAAGTAAATTCCCTAACCATTAAAGAAGATGCCAGATGGCTCAAATCTTATACTCGCCCTGAAAAATAGCTTCTGGTACCTTTTTGAGTGTCAAATGTAGACCCGATGACTCTCCCGTCAAAGAAAGGAAAATGTCTCCTAAAATAAGTGTTGATATTCTTATGTTTTGCATAAAAACAGTCTTTTAAAAATATTCCCTATTAAGAATATACATGTTAATTTTCACAATTATTGCACTGTGAATTAATTGCCTAACTATTTTTGGTTTTACTACTGAGAAATCTCATCTAATTGTTCATTCATTTATTCCATAAATGGGGGAGGTGTGACAGAGTCCTTGCCCTCAAGGAGTTCTTAGTTTGGAGGGGGGACTGGGACGGAGAGACTGGTAAGTGCGTTGCTACCTACATATAGCCTTTGCCCAGGCTGATTTCAGGGATGAAGGATCATTCTACAGGTGAGTATGGCTAAGTGAAGCGAACTGAGTAAGCAGCCCAGCTGCCTGCCAAAAACAACAAATCAAAGCCTTGCCTTGAGTAGAATCTGACTATAGGGACCTGCAGGGCAGAGCAGAGCAGAGCTGCCTCACAGTGTTTCCAAAGCTGTAATCCACAGGGAAGCCTATTGTCACATTCTTCTCCCATAGATCAGCTGGTGTTTTCAAACCACCAACCTTTCAGTGTGTAGCCCAGTGCTGAACCACTGTGCCCCGGGGCCCTTTTCAGGGGTGGGAATCGAGTGTGCCATTTGAGGGACACCTTTAAGATGCTGCGCTAGATCTTGGAGTTTTTGTGGCTGGAAGACACAGTATGAAGGGAGTGTCAACAAGGGTCAAGGTTAGACCTGGACCAGGGTAAGAAAGGCTTTATATTCCAGAACTATGTAATCTTTGGGCATAGGTTGTCATTGGAGAATTCTATGGAAAGGATTGTGTTTTAGAAAGAGAACAGTCCACAGATAGAATGGCAAGAGATTATGGAGCTACAGAAATCTATCTGGAAGCTGTTACAATGGCTCATCTGAAAGACTGATAATGCATTCATAGTAACATACATTTAACTTGAACCTACAAAGGGAAGAAGTTTAATTTTCTCCTAAAATCAACATTTATAGAACAAAACATAATTCTTCGAGTCACTGTCTAAAATTCTAAGCTTGTTGTCTTTTAAAAATAATGCCATTAAAACTAAACTGCTGAAAGTAGAATATTGAAGTTCCACGTCTATCCTTTTGCCAGAAAACTAATTAAATTCTAGCTCTTCACCTGACATTAGTTTCACAAACTTGCCTTGCTTTCCCTGCATGGGCTCTGGGCTGTTACAAGGCTAATGAGCTGAGTTTAAATAGCAATTCTGTAGCTTTTCTGGCCACACTGATTACTTACAGAATTTCACCCGAAGCATTTTCCCTTGTTGAAGCATTTTTTTGCATTTGCTTTTCCTCTGGGTCCATAATTTGCTTCTTGTCTCCAAAATTTGTTACAGGTTTATGCACAGCAAGCTTGGCTCCAGATACAATGTCACTTTGGACTTCTAAAACAAGAACTGAGCAGAAGTGCATAAATTGCAGCTACATATTATTTATGAGTACAGAACAGTAGGAATATGAACATACACACTAAAATAAAAATGCAAAACAAAGTTTGTAGCTGTTGGGTCTAAGAGAAAGGATTGTAAGAGTAATTGATAGTTGCTTTTAAAGCTAATAATAAGTTGTATTTCTCTAATTTAATTCTTGTAGATTCTTTCCTTGCAAGCTATTCTTAGGCAAGAGTACTAAAAAAAAAATAGGTCTTAGTCTATAAAATTATTCAAACAAACCACATTATTTATTTAAATGTTAGTAGGTTGTTTTGAGTTGAAAATAACTCAACAGAAATTTTCTTTTTCTTGTCTTGGAGTCAGTTTTGACTCATAGCAAGTCTGCATAGGGGTTTCCAAGGTTGTAAATACCGGAGCAGAAAGCCTCATCTTCCTCCCACGAAATGGCTGGAAGTTTGGAACTGCTGACCACCTTGAGGTTAGCAACCTGAGTTGTAACCACTGTGTTAGCAGAATCCCTTGGATTATTCAATAAACAAGGAAAATAATAGGTTTACTTGTACTTACTTACTAATCAGTAGTGAACAGTTTCACACGTTATAATGAAACCTGTGAATTTTTTCACCACTGAGTAGTAAGTAAGCATAAGTAAGCCTGCACTTACCTTGCTTATTGGGTAATCTGTCCCTGTCTGGCATCACATACTCATTAGTGAAATTCCCCAGTGCCTATAAGGACACATGCTGAGTTTATTATACAGTGTTCAAGATATGCAATCGGGTAATGTATTAAATTACATTAATGAGTTTTTCTCTATTCCTTTTCTGCATCCCTGACCTTTGTTCTGAGACAGCCATAGCGTAAGGGAACGAGGAGGACCAGCAGGAGATGAGAAATGTTACAAAAGGAATGCAAGAGTACAAAGATCATTTTTGACATTCAAACTCAGGATATTGCCATAAGACAGCAGCCCTGTACATACGGATTCTGTTATGTGTAAGATATTTCCAAATGCCTTTAGCTTCCTTTTAGCATATCAAAGGTTTTAACTTCAGAATTAACTTGGAGAAAATCCACCATTTGGGGACCTGAGGGAATCTGGGGCAGACAACTGAGAAAGGCAGGAACCAGCACGTGCTTTCCTGACTTTCCACTACAGGCTTCCCTTCGGGCACTTTAGCAAGGCCAAGGAAACATTGCAGGCACTGATTAATGTTCAAGACACTTTCAAAAAGCCCTTGCCATGTGGAACAGCCACAAGACCCACGCTACGGAGCATGATCTGGTACCCAGGATTTGCTAGGGAACATTCTAGAAGTGATTATGAGCAGGGGTGAGCTGGACCTTTAGAAAGGGCTTGCAGGGATGGCATTCAGTCAAGCCTCAGGAGGACAGAAGAAACAGAAAAGAGGTCAAATCAAACAGGAAGCATCACCATGCAAAGCATTTCCTGTCCCAAAAAGCCAACGTCTTTCCTTCCACCATGCCTTCCTACAGAAGAACTACAATGAGAGTCTAGAAACAGGGAGCATTTCAATGTATGGATTGGACAAATTTTAGACTTGATTAGAGACTTTGTCCTAGATGAGAAGCATAATGCTCACAAAAAACAGTCTATGTTTATTATAGACAAAATAAAGTACGTTTTCTTTGCTCAGCCATATTATAGTAGAAAATACAACACAATCCTGTTAACTATATAAACTCATTGCTGTCAAGTCGATTGTGACACACAGTGGCCCTAGAGGCAGAGTAGACCTGCCCCATAGGTCTTCCAAAGCTGTAATTTTGATGGAAGCAGACGGCCACATCTTTCTCCTGCAGAACAGCTGGTGGGTTTGAAACACAGACTTTTCAGTTAGCAGCTGAATGCTTAACCATTGTGCCACCAGGGATCTATTAAAGATGAGGGGGCTTCAAAAAGTTCGTGGGGAAATGGACTGAAAAGATAATACAGTCTGAAGAGCAAAAAGGCAAAACGGAGGAGTAAAATGGTGTCTTAAAATTAAACTTTTTTTTTTTTTTTTAAAGAAAAAAAAAAAAAAAAAAAAAAATAGCATAAAAAATA